AACATACCTAAAAAAATAAGACCGAAATGGTATTTTAGCAATTGTTGCATAAATCACATAACGCCAACAAATTAAACATTGAGATTCAGTTTCAAATATTTTAGATAATACTGCGCTCGGTAATCTTCCAAATCGAATCCCGTCCCGCCCTATTCTTTGATTTATATTGTGTAATTGTTATTGTTTCGTCTTTAGTAGGCATTTTTAAAAACATTTTTGACGTTGTTTTGAAATTTGGCGACATAAAATAATGTAATTAATATTTTCTAGAATGTGGAAATAATGCACTGTGGGTCGTCGGGTTGGACGTGCAGCGCAACAGTGCTGGGGATTGTAAGGACTTGGGTCGCATACTTGGCCGGTGTGTGCCAGTTATGAGTTCAACTGAGAGAGGTAGCTGTTGAGTGCACCTTGAACCTCTTGGCAGTTCAGCTTCCTCAATACCGATGGGCAGCGTTCGACGTCCTACCAAGTGGTTTTCGTCGCGGATGTCAGAATTATTCTCATCGCATCGCTTTGTACGTTGTTGGGCGCCGCTTATAATTTTCCCTGAGAAGGATAAAAATTTATCGAACCTGACTCCCAAGATCTCGGAATATTTCGCAGTCGGTATTTTTGCGTCATTGACGTATGTATACGTCGAGATCTAGGCTAACCGGAGAGACAACCAGTTTTCTCAAGGCAAACGATGTTAAAGTTTTTGCAGGTCACCATAATTATTTAACCGTCTGCGTAGCTCATTAGTTAACCCCTACTGGTGTCGAAGAAAATTTGGATATGTAGGGGCTAAACCGCGTCAGTATGAGGCTATAGAAATTGTGAGTATGCGATTTACTAGCTAAGGCAAGTTTCAGAGAAAAAGCTTGATGCTAAGGATTTACTCTTCATCTTGACATTCGCCTGTAGGTTTTCAATGGAAAGCCCATTTTTCTAACAATTGCTTCCATCAGCAAGTCGCCTATGATGATTTCCACTACCATTCCGTGTTGGGGATTATTAAGGTTCGCAGACTTATTGGTCCACCCTCGCAAAGTAAAATAGCGCTTATTGATTACTTTAATAGTGTAATAAAATATTAAATCTTTTATTTGTATTATTGTATGCACTTGTCTATATCGATCTCCATTCAGCAACACAATTGAAAAACCTTTTACAATACTTTCGCCTGTATACATATGGGTGTGGTGTAAATGATGTAACTTTTCGCTGTGTTGGCTTTCATACATTAGTGTGGTCCAAAAACGTATGTCAAGAAGTAAAGTAAGTCGGAATTATGCTCTCTTCCGCTAGGATTGTTCTATATCAAAAACATATGCCCCTTTTATTTTGAAATCAACATTTTTTTAGAGGTCGCTCAAAGCGTTCAATGTTTCCCATTATTTTATATAGAAACAAAAAAACAACTTTTCTTAGAAATGGTGCGCAATTCTCGAAAATCAATATTTTTCAATCGGAAGACTCTGTTTCTCTGTTTCAAGAGATTCCCAGTAATAATACCCAACAGTTTATTTAGCCAATTTTTTATAGTAACTTTATTTTATAGGATCGCCAAAAACCCCAGGAAATACAATAAAAAATCTTTATCTTTAAACAATGGTTTAATAAACAATTGGGTATTATTGTTGGAAGTCTTCTGAAGAGAAACGAAGTTTTCCGATCGCAAAATATTGATTTTCAAGAATTCTATACAATTTCTACGAAAACCCATATAAAATACATAGAAAATTTTGAGCGCTTTGAGCGACCTCTTAATATTTTTTGATTGCAAAATCAAATATGGGGATATATGTATTTTTTCGATATAGAACAATCCTAGGGGGGAGAGCTTTAAAATTTCCTTTTTTAGGACCACCCTAATGTGCATACATATGTATTTTGGGCAGCATCAGTAGCGGCCATCGGCAGCAGCCCAACTTAACCATTTGCCACTTGCTATGCGCCGTTCGCTATGTCTCTTATCCATTCTTGGCGGCTGCTCTTGGCTATTTGCTCTTTTGTGCCATCGATTTGTTGCGCGCAAATTAGCCACAGTTAAATTGAATATTTTTAGCATTTCATTCGCCGCTGAGTAATTGCTGTGAAATGGACTTGAAAATTAAGTAAGTAGTTGAATATTTACGAGTCGGCACTTACACATGCATATTCGCAAATAATCACACACACACACATATATATGTATACATACATGGAAATATTTTTAAATACCTGTAGGTGCGCGATGCNCGAGTCGGCACTTACACATGCATATTCGCAAATAATCACACACACACACACATATGTATACATGGAAATATTTTTAAATACCTGTAGGTACGCGATGGAAGTCAGCAGCTCATAAACACAGGTTGCTTGCATACTTTGGTTGCGCACACAGCATCGCACTCCTATCCTCGCAATGTGTATCCCGAATAGGTGGCGGCAGCTTCAGAATGTCTTTTACGAATTTCGTAAAATTATGAATGCCTTTAAAACACTTTAGCATTAACCATTACAGCCCATTAGGAGTAGTCGCGTCGTGTATTTGTACTCATCAAGAAACGAGCGAACCAGCCAAGCAAGCAGCCGGCTTGTAAGTGACCAGTAAGTTTGCCAGACACCGCACCACACAACCACCCGGTTGGCAGTGAATAGCTCTTAGGCATGACTAAAAGGACCTTGCCTCTGCGGTGCGCAAGTGAAAAATTCTAAATGCTGCACGCGGCTGCACACTCAGTCCTATAGCAGATGAGGAAATCTTCAGCTGGTGGTTGGACAGCATCAAAGTGTGGACTATTGTATGGTCGTCTTTTGGGCCGCCTCAGCGTCCTTTCTCACGACTTGACCCAACGCGCCTCATAACTGCCGTCACATTTTTTAATGGGTGTAAGCGCAACATCAGTATTGGCGTCTTCCAGTTGCGGCGATGTACTCAGCTGGTGTGAAGTCCAAAAGCATTCTAAAAGAGCGTGTACTCAAATGGCGAATAGAATTTATACAGCAAAAATATTAAAAGTGAAATTTTCCACACTTATTTAATGTTTAAACACTCTTACATGGATTTTAGCGAGAGAAAAAGTTGTCAAAGGGCAGTAAATATAGACGATAAATAAACTCATTTGAAGACAAAATGGGAATTGGACTTAAGACCTTCGAAATATTCTACGCCCAAGACTAGAGATTGCGATGAAATTGTCGCGAGTCCAGCTGCCGACTATATGGATTCCTTCTACGCAAATATGTGTATCCGCGGAAGGTCAAATCCACTGGCTAAAATAGCTTGGCTTGTCCACCGATAAGATCACCCTCGGAAGGCAATTGAAAAGAAGAGCTCCCTCTTTCTCGTTGATGAAAGACTACGCTAGAAGCTTTCCAGAGATCTATTCTACGCAAGATCATGTGGATAACGACGCTTCAGTGAAAACAGTCTTTCGACTCAACGAAACAAAAATGGAAGGATCCAGTGCAGAAGGACCTGTCTGTCTGCATTTGGAATGAACAACTGGCACAAATTTGTAAAATACAGCGGCCATTTAAGCTGTATTTTGGTCTCGGCCACAACCGAAAAACCGTTGTAGTATCAAATAAGAAGAAGAATATTGTAGATCCGAAGAGACAGCACTTCTTTACATGCTACTTGTTACTAAAAAAAAACATGTTTTTTACCCAGGTTTGGATGACAAAAGAGCCACTTAATCGAAGACAACGATAATACGAGCGCCTACAAATATCTTATCTGGCCACTCTCTAACTTTGAGTATTTTATTTAAGTTCGGCGTTGGATGACCTTATTGGCCTAACTAACGTTCCAATTGCCAAAGCAGTTCGACTTTGAACCCCGTGCACTCGAAGTGTAAAAGCGGATTCGAACCTTAGACGTTCCAACCGCCAAAGTAATTCGACTTTGAAGCTCGGGCAGCCAAAGCGTAGGAACGGAATGGAACCCCAACCGTTCCAACCGCCAAGACAGTGGGGCTTTGAAAGTCGTTCAACCGAAGCGTAGACGCGGATTGGAATCTAAGCCGTTCCAACCGCCAAGGTGGTATCCCTGAAACTCGTCACCTCTGAATGTCAGCACAATGTGCAAATACTAGCGCGCACCTCCGGCCGCTCCCCCTCCGCGAAGTATTGCTTTCGGTAGTTCCACAGTGTCTTCCAGTGGTAGTTCCATTGTAGCACGGTGGATGCCTCTTTAGACCAATGTCCAAGAAATATAACCATAGATAGTATTATCGAAATTCTCGTCGTTATCCAAAGTGAGCCTTCTTTTGAGCAATCTCTTAGTTATGTAAGCGCTATTGTTGTGCTGAAGGGATTGAATACAGTCAGTTTGTATCCAAAGTGTAGGTCTTAAATTTTGTATTGGCTTTGAGAATGAAGGAAGTTATAAAATAAGCATATAAATAAGAATGCATGTTTAGTTAAGCTGCAGAAAATAACACCGATACATTCCTCCAAGTGTATGGCATGTACTCCCAGCAGTGACTTTCCCTATATATGTAGATAGATCAGAGTATCAAGGATCACCTCAATATGTCTTTGTGAAAATTTCAATCACCACCCGAAGACTTAAGAGCCAAATCTGCTATGACTGTTCACTCTGGTGAACCTTTATTCCGTCTTACTTCACCGAACTCGTAGGAACTCCACTTGAAGAAGGTATTTCAGAGTCCCTTAGGGAACCTATCGCAATGGCAGACTCTTTCGATAAATATGCCTGCAGACGGAAGCCCTGGAAGGCGTTTCTATCGACCCTCAAAGGTTCTCCCATGGCTCCCTCTTGGGAGCACCAGAATTTTGAACAGGACACCGTTGTGCAGATCCGTTTTGTTTTCATATGAAAAAGGACTTTTTCATGGTATCTAGATAAGCACGCGGAAGTTCGATATTGTCTGCCAAGAACTGACTGATATACATATATTTGAGTATACATATATTAGCAAAATATGGGATATTCTGATCCTCTAGCCAACCAACTACGACGTTTACTCTACTTACTAGATTTATTTAAGTAAAAGAAATAATAACTTGAGAAAAAATCTTTAGTTCGTGTAAACCAACTGTTTTACTCTACATTAAAAATGAAACTGGCTTATAAAACGATAAAAAAAATACTCAACCATTCAGTCAATATATTTAAAAACACCTCCGGAAAGTTCAATTCGGTTGCCGATAACTGCCTTCGAAAAGTTTTAAGCAACTTCTGTTCTTTATACAAAAGTAGAATGGACGATTCGCTATGAATTCCTCCTCAAAACTAATGGCACCATCAATACAACAGGCTATGTGGAAAGAAGAAGAGACAAATTGTCAAAATAGTATACATTTGTACGAGTATAGCTTTAGGTGCTCTCACACTTACCAGTCGCAGCAGCTGCTTCTGTTCCCTCTTCGCTTACTTTAATGAAAGCTTGTTGTATGATTTTCGAGACTCCAAAATTGAAGACGTTACCTTCTACAAGATTGTTAAAGTCCTTGCTGTCGTTGAAAATTCCGCGCACGCCGAACTAGCAAAATGTATATGAACATATTTAAAAAAAAAACTAAAGATTATCACTTTAGCAATAAACCTTAGCTACGAACCTTTGCCAACAAGCTGTGTACGTCTATGGTGCAACCAAAAGTAAATTTAGGTAATTTTACATACACCTTACGAAACACCAACTGATCCACAGCGCTTGGCAAGCTCAGATTTGCCAGTGCACCAAAATCCGCCAATACATCAGTTGGTAAGATGACCAGCATAGCTAGATCTGTATCCCGATAAGGCAACTCCACCACCTTAACTCCGTGATCAGGCAAGTAAGCATAGCGTGCGCTTATCACTTGGCTCATCATTGGCACTAGAACACTTCGTTGTGCGTCAATGTAGAATGGTTTCATTTTAGTGTCGACCGGCTCGAATTGCTGCTTCCACTGAGCTTTGAAATAGATCGCATTGGCAAGCACTACCTGTGTGTCGGGCCCTACATCATTCGAGGATATAATGACGGGAATGCGTTCGTTGGTTACGCGCTTAACCCATTGATTGATGGCTTCTGCAGCTAAAAGAGGGGCGCAGAAATCGAGTTCCTGCATGCCGCAGGCAAACTGCTGCTTCAGTACGTTTATGAAGTTTCTACTTAGGCGGACCCCGGACTTAACGAATATTCGATTTGCAATCCATATGTTTTTTGTTTCTGTGCAGGAAGGCGATAGGACATTGGCGGCGGTGTTATGTACTGGTGGTGCAATACATTCCTTCGAGATATCTGTTGTTGCTGCAAGGAAGTACTTCTGCCTGAGATTTTCTAAATCGTTGCCGGGAATGCCAATATCGGCTGCTAATAATTGCAGAAAATTTTCCAACTCTTGTCCACTTTCACCCTTGACTCCGATTCGTAGCATAGTAAGAATTTCCCATATTAGAAATGGTGATTCGATAATATTTGTGAGATCGCCAAGAAGTTTGCTTAGAATTGCATTCATTTCAGAGAGAACTAAAAAGGAGCAGACAAATGAGATCAACAAAAAATATCAACAGAAATATGAAACGAGTATTGGTTTAGAATATTGAAAACTGTTGTTTTATGGGTTGAAGAACGGACTTGCTTGAAACTTTCTTTTAATGATTAATTATGATAGCGTTTCTGACGCAGAACAGTTCAACTCCAACTTACTTATACCGTTTATGGATATTATGTACATATGTTAGAAAATGTAAATAAATAGATCGAAATTCTGAAAGTCTAAAAGAGTCAAACGTCATGTGAATTTATAAAAAAGGGCCAAATATTAAAGAAATTTTGGATGGAGAAGGTAACCGTTCCCAAGGGTGTATCAGTCTGCGACACATGATTCGTGGGCAGTCATATACAATACAATATGCTCTGGGGTTTCGTTCATCGACTCACAAAACATGCAGCCCGTGTCTACGGAAAGCCCCATTTTATCCAAATGTTAGCTTAATTTGCAGTATCCTATCAGGCAGCCTGTAAGAGTTCTAATATCCTCCCTTCCCTCCCTCTTCCCAGCTTCTAGGTAGTTCAGAACTGCATCCTTGAGATATACCGCAGAAAGGTTTGGAATGATGCAAGCGGTTTTTATTCTCAAGTTACATACCTGATGACAGTAAGAATGGCAATTATAATAGGGAGGTTTTAGTTTTTTAAACTATATTTTTATTCAATCTATATCATAAACTATCAAGGTGCACCACCAAACATCCAAAAATACAAATTTTCACATTTATAATATTAGTAGAATATAAGATGGGAGGTGCCACGCCCCCTTTTCCAATACCGTCCATTTTTCTCCATGAGTATGGAGTTATTTCATACGTATATCTCTATACGAATTTCCAGTACTCTACCGCAAATATTTCAAGAGATGCCACGTCCCCTTTTTCCAAATTCGGGCAAACTTCACATAAACCATCTTCAAGATATGCCGTAGAAATTTTGTTGAATTCGGTTGAGCCGCTCTCAAANTTCATACGTATATCTCTATACGAATTTCCAGTACTCTACCGCAAATATTTGAAGAGATGCCACGTCCCCTGTTTCCAAATTCGGGCAAACTTCACATAAACCATCTTCAAGATATGCCGTAGAAATTTTGTTGAATTCGGTTGAGCCGTGAGTTATAAGGTAACACAAAACGTGCACTTATTTTTAACCGACTTCCAAAAAAGGAGGAGGTTA